CTTGGTGACCATTCTTAAAATGTTGAAGGATTAGCAAAGCATAATGTAACTGAGATTCATACGCAGCTTTAGGGCTTGGGCAGCTCTTGGTGGTGTAACCCCTGAACAGTCAAAAGCAGTTGTTCTTGCCACCCTGAGTTAAATGCTTCGGGTAGGAAGTCCTCAGTGATATATAGTACTGATTGCTGGCAGTAATACATGAAGGTTATTTACTCAAGGAGCCTGTAAGCACTGCTATGAACAATAATTTTCTCATCTTCTTGGCTTACAGGACCCCATTGCACTGTGCAGCATCTTGCAATAATGTGCAGGTGTGCAAGTTCCTGGTGGAGTCAGGCGCAGCTGTATTTGCTATGACCTACAGCGACATGCAGACAGCTGCAGACAAGTGTGAGGAAATGGAGGAAGGCTACACACAGTGTTCCCAGTTCTTATACGGTAGGTGATGACAACCATCCTGGGTAACCAGCTCTCCTGTTTCCTTCCTGAGAGTGTTCACATTTTCCCTAGTCCTCCTTTCATTCCTGATGTATTTACAGAAGCTTTTCTGGTTGCCCTTGATGTCTTTAGCCAGATTTAGTTGTCTGGGATTTATTTTTCCTTACCTGATCTCTATCTGCTTGCGCAGTTTCTCTGTATTCCCTCAGGCTTCCACCCTCCACAGGCTTCCTCCTACTGTTTGAGTTTGTCCTTTGTTATCCATGCAGACCTCCTGATGTTTTCACCTGGCTTTCTTTGTTGGGATGCATTGCTCCTGAGCTTGCAGAAGATGATTCTTAAATAATAACAGCTTTCATGGGCTCTTCCCTCCAGGGATTTATGTTATGGAACTCTACCAAGCAGACCTCCAAAGAGGCCCAAAGCTGCCCTTGAGCTTCACATTTCCTAACAGCCCCCACCTTGTTGGTGAGGTCCTCTCCTTGACAGCTTCCCTATTGCCTGGAGAAGGAAGTTATCTTCCGTGTATTTCAGGAACTTCCTGCATCGCTTTTGCCTTGCTGTGTTGTCCCTCCAACAGATACTGAAGTGGTTGAAGACTTAACTAAAAGCAAGCAGGTGTTCCAGGCATAGGTATAAAAGGAGGCTTGTTTTAAAGGCCAAAAACAAAGTGACACAGGTAGAAAATGGCACCCAGACAGTAAGATGAAAGCAGTAGTCAGCATAAGCAGGTGTAGCTGTCTCCCCATGACAGGAAGGGGATGACTGATTAATTAAGAGTACAAACGGGATTCTTGCTCATCACTTATGTATGGAAAATGTGTACACCAATGTGAAAATCTTACCTCTTATCAACCAGTGTTCTACTCGTGTTCCTTTCCTGTTCCTCATGTTCTCTGAACGTGATAGAAGGAGGAAATCTGTCTGCTGTGTGCAAAGGTTAACTTTGCAATACTGCCTGTTTCCTGGCTGACTTTTGGCAGGCTGGTGAGAACAAGGAGCTATGTGTGATTGATAGGCATTAAGATATTTTTCTTGGATTGCTGCACGGCAGTCTTTCCAACTGTCTTTTTTTGGTGTCTTTTATATTGAGCTGCTGTATATTTTTCATATTGCAGGAGTCCAGGAGAAAATGGGAATAATGAACAAAGGAGTGATTTATGGACTGTGGGATTATGAGGCTCAGAATGATGATGAGCTCTCAATGAAAGAAGGAGACTGCATGACAATCCTGCGCCGGGAGGATGAAGATGAGATTGAGTGGTGGTGGGCACGGCTGAATGACAAGGAAGGCTACGTTCCCCGCAATCTGCTTGGGGTGAGTCCTCATTATTTTTTGGGGTCAGTTTAAAAAAAACCAAAACATTATGTGAAATATTCACAACGTTCTTCTCACGCATCTAAGTTACGTGTGGTTTAAAAAGTGTAAGGGCAGGAGTTGAAGTTCTCCATTTATTCCATAGGAAAGTGAAGTTGCACCCTTTGTTTAGATACCCACTAGATGATATTAATGGGTACACAGAACACACATTGCCACCCTGCTATACATGTCAGATTGTAATACTAACCTTGTCTCATTATCTAATAGGAAAAAGTATGTGAACAGGGCTTCCCCTCTTTTCGGAAGTGGTATGTGGGTAGGCACAGTAGACCTGCAGAACAGGCACTTGGATTAAGAATGATTCATCCCTTTCTCTGCTACCTCTTTTTTTTTTAAAACAGAAACAGTTGTTTGCAAATAATGGATATTTTCAGCTATTTCACCATACTCTGCTTGCTAGAAAACTGCAGCAGATGGACACATTAAAAATTCTGTTAAGCTTTTATCTACATATCCAGCATCCCTGCTGCAGGAGATAAGAGCTTCAGCTGATGCTAAAGATTAACTGCGGTGAATTTTAGCTGATTAATGTATGATGCTTGAAAGAGGCTGATCTTCCTTCCTCATGCAGATAGTGTGTATATTCCTAAGCTGCTAGACTTTGCAGAGCTACTTTATCAAATGTGAAATTAGTTTTCATTTCTGTATCACTTTCAGGTCACACATACCCACAAGGTAATGTAAAGCACTGCATAAAAGAAAATTTCTGCTCAGTTTTTCCTCTCCAAATGTAAACATCTCTGAACTGAGAGTAGCCTCAGCCCTGCACAATGAAGTCTCTTTTTTTCCTGCCACATGGTGAACTGGGCACGTGCAGCTTCTTCATGAACTTGTGCACAGTCTTGAGCAAAGGTGTCCAAAAATAGAGGAACATCTGTGCTTCTGTAATGAGAAGCATGAAAAGTACAAGGTAGCACAACTCAGTCTAGGGACCACTCCTCCTCCTTTACACAGCACAGTCCCAACAGAACCTTTGCAATAACTACCCTGTTCAATTGTTCTAGTATTGTCACCTGAGTATTCTTTTTGTTGCTCTCAAAAAACAATTCCTGGACTCTTAATATTGCAGCTGAAATCCAGGCTAAGCTGTTAAGCCTAGATAAAAATGTTTGGTAGTTCACTATATTAAGTTGTACTTTTATCACAGCTTCTTCATCCTTTTGCAGTTGGGTGCACAGAAGAAAAGCAAGGATGAATTAATCTGCCTCAGTATCCTGTCCTTCTTAGTGATTCAGTAGCTTGCTAAGCTGTGCAACAGCTCTAAAACTGAATGCAAATAGGATGATACCGTCAAAATACTGACTGCTTAATACCAAACAAAATCTTTTGAAGACTGACTTCATCTCTGCTGCAGTGAAATCACAGTTATCAGGCTGAGACAAATCTTTTGGGTGAATTTGCTGGTCTTCTATTAATAATTAGCTTATTGAGCTTCGTGCTCAATTAAGAGTAAGAAGAAAGCTAGTGTCTCCCCTGAATGTGGAAGAGTATCTTTAAGAACTTTACCTGAAAAACAGCAGTATGTAATGTAGGCATGTTATAGCTTAGAGCATGGAAGATGCATCCTTCTATTTCTGTACATCAGTAGCCATGCTTTGCACAGTAGGAGTTGCTCCAAAGCCCTTTTCAAGTGAGGTCTAAGAGCTTCCCAAAAACTCAACTCTTCTGTGTACTGCATCAAGTCATGTCACATCCATCATTATGCTATAACTGAGGCTGAGGTATCTTTGTACCTCCATCTGTGTACTCAGAACAGGTGAATGGCAATAGATGAAGGTCTGTGAGGTGGCAGATACTAATTAATAGCCAGGCAACTGGGTGAATTTCAGTGGCTACTCACTATCTGCTAATCAATGTGTGGCTTTTACATTTCTGTGGTCCTTATGCAGCCAGATGTTTCCAGATGACCCAAAGTTGTAGATCTGTAAAGGCTGATGTGCATAAAGAGACTGAAAACAAAACACTTCAGTACTTCTCTATTTCCCTTTATAAAACAGGCAAAAAAAATCCAATAACTCACTGAGCACAAAAGTCTCTTGACTTTTGAACCACACAGAACCATACAGTGCTCCTAGCCCACCCACCTGGGCAGAGCTGGTCTGTGCTTTTCAATGCCTTCCTTTTGTGCTGACAAGGTTAGTAATTTTTAAGCTTGCCCAAGGATGCTGAATTTACTTTTGTTAGTGCTCTGAGTGTTTTCTGTAAGTATGCTTTTCCTACTTAGGATTATATTAGAATTGTATTACCAAAGAGAGATTAAAAAAAAAAAAGTAACTTTTCTAAGCACTGAAATTTAAATCCCATTTCTGTTTTACCCTCAGCTGTACCCAAGGATTAAGCCTAGACAAAGAAGCTTGGCATGAAGTAGCAGGGATGCCAGATTCTTGAAGAACTTGCTAATCGTGGATGACTTGCAAAGAAAAAAAAATCATGCTGTGTGGGTTCCAGTATCATGAGACTTATTTCAATGACCATGTAATTTGAAACGATGAAGAATGTGCTTTGAAAACAAATGAAGGATTGATACGTTAGCAAATAGAGGAGGGCATTCTACAAGCTGAAATAATGCTTGCAAGCAAACAGTTATTCTGCCTGTGGCCTAAGCAAGCCAAATGTTGAGGTACCCACTCTGATTTCTCCAAGCATGGCAGAAAAGACTTCCACGCTTTTCTGCGTTAAGTACAAGAACCTTTTCAGTTTACCATTGAAGGATTCATCATGAGACAGACAACCAGCTTTGTCCTGAGGCTTTTTCCAGATGGGAGGAATTAGAGAAGTACGTGCACAGCACCCAAATGCTTATCATTGGAAACAGAACATTTGCTGAAGAAGTGAAATTGAAGTGCATCTGAGCAGTGGAAAACATGTGACCGATCCAGTAAGCAATAACTTCTAAAATGCTGTAGCATCTTAGGAATTCTATGTATTCAGAATATTATGTGTTATAACAGACAATGTAGTTTTAGATTCCTCTTTTTACAAAGAGTCTCATGTATTTATTGCCTTTTTTACTTTTAAAACTAAATGTAGAAACTCTCTGTAGTCCTTGACAACTTACTTGTTTTTACTTGACTGTGATACCATTAAACTTTTGTGTCCTCTTAAGTTTTATCTCTGGGTGCTTTCCTGTAAAGCTTCTATTAGACCATCTGAAAATGTTGCCTATACGACACACTGCTGTTCTACGTTATGGTCACATTCAATTACTCTGTCTTTACCCCCCTCCACCAATTAATTAAACATTATCTTTCTTTATTTAAGCCTTAACTGGTAGTTGCATATAACCTGTGTTAACCTTAGCTTCTGAGGGATACGTTTAAGAAAAAAAAATTGAGCAGTGTATTTTCCAAATACAAATTTCCAGTGGAAATATTGTTTATAGCTGTCAGTTCAGGAATAATCATTTGGTAATCAGTTACTTAGTAGAAAGTATCAAATATTTCCTCAAAGGTAAGGAATTTGATGTACCTCTGCCTCACCTTCAGGCTTGTGCTTTCCTACAGGATAAGTTCTTGCTTCTTTCTCAAAAGGTTTCCCTAAGTAAAAGAAAGTGTAAAAAGGATACAAATTCTCAAGAGGACGAAGTTGTGTCAGCTGTAGTGAGAATTCTGCTCGTGTTTACAGCCTCACTGTTTTAATAGGTCAGGTATGAGGTATATATAGGAGTGATCATCTTTCTTGAAAACAAAGTTTTTCAAGCATTAATCTTTTAAAGTGTCAGGCTGTCTAGTACTGCATTAGGAGATGTACATTCAATGTCTGTTAGTGCCTGATCAGCTCCAAAATGTGGGTTTTTTTTTCCATATTAAGAGGCAACTGGTTCTGTTTTGGACAACTGAAGCTCTGCATATATTCTGCAAGACTCTCCCCCCCCAAAGAAATGTTGCTCGTCTTCAGAAACAATAAGGATCTTGCAAACCTTATTTCCACTGTTATCTTTTTATTTAAATACTTGTATTTCAAAGGAAGATAAAAAAAAAAAGATGCTCAAGACCTGAGAGCATGTGCTTTATCTGGTGAGGACTGAGTTGCTGACAGCCTTTCCTGCTCCAGGGATATCAATGGTCAGGACACAGACTTGCCTTCAGTTTGTTTAAATGTGTTACTTGCTATTCAAGTCCTTCAAAAAATATTTAACCTGAATGAATAATGATGAAGCTTAACAGAAAACATGCAGGGCCCCAGGTCTTACCTGAACGCCTGTGTTATGAGGTGTTAAAATACCATCCCCTTTCAGATATGCGGGACTTTGTGGTACTGCTATTATAAAAGCCCTTATTCAAGCATAATGATCTTTCTTCCCACATTACATAGGAAGATATTAGTAAAGAAATATTTTCAGAAGTTGCACTGAGGATTTATACAGTAATAAAGCTGTACAGAGGGTACGTGGGATTATATAAAGACTATTAAACCTATTAAACAAGGTTGCAGATTCTTCTGCCATGGAATTAGCTCTTTTCTCCTTGTAAGCATGTGCAAAGTTCCCATTTGTAAGTTAAGGCACGTGTAGTTTAGTACATATGTATGTTTTGCTTTGTATGCTGTTTATCTTCATCTGATCTTCACCTTTTTGAAGCATCTTGGGCTGATGGCAGTAGTTCAGATGACAGTGAAGAGGAGCCACTGTGAGAGAAAAATGGCCTGAAGTTTAATGAAAAATACCCAGAGCAAGTATGCATGTTTCTACTTCTACTATGAGGAGTGTAAATATTATTACAGAAATAATTTTAAGAGATAACCTGAATGATTTAAATCTATCTCACTTATTGTAGAGGAATTACAGAATGATACATGCATTCCTCATTTTGGTCCAGATATAAATTGTTACCTGAACTTCAATAACAGGTTAGTTTTCTCCTAGCTCTCTACAGGACACACACAGTGATGAAGAAAGCATTTATAGTCCATCCTGAGAGTACTCTCATGCCTCCATTTTACCCCCTTATTGACAGAAAGGGCAGGGAAGAGACCTACACAAGTTTCAACTAAAATTAATTCCAGTAAGTGGGTGGCTTCTGGTTAAAATATTGCATCTTATTTGGGACTGGCTATAGGTACAGCTTAGAAAAGGATATTTCTCAAGACAATTATACAAGCAATATAAATCTAACATATGAGAATAGATACTCAGCCATAACAAGGCAGAATGGAGCAGGACACTCTTTGCTATTAACTTCATCCACCTCCCAAATAAGAAGAGAATCTTCTAGAGCTGGCTGAACTTACATTAATGAGGTTCAATTCTATTGTTCCAGTTTTCTCGGTATCCAGTTTTCTAAACATTTCTGTGGAATGAGAGAGGTGATGGAGAAAAATGAATATAGGTACCAACTGGAAAGATTTCTTCTCCGTGATTCAGTTCAGAGAGGAGTTTATGACAACAGACCAACAGACTTCACCCCAAGCTAAAAAGTGCCACTGTGAAATCATCCCACTAAGGACAGACATCTTGTATCTGCAAGCCAATGTACAAGAACTGCTTGCCAAATAGGCAGAAAAAGAGACTTTTTGTAATAGTTCTGTCTGTAATATTGGCAAATGTTAATTTAAAACAGCTTTCAGCATCTAGTAGCCTCATAGTGAAAAGGCAAAACAACAGAGTTTGATTTTTAAACCTGTACTCACTAAATAAGGTTTCCAGCCGAATCAAGCACCGGACAAAATTATCGAAGTCAATGATGAGGTTTTCATCAGCAAACCGAGCCACAATGATTTGATGTAACTGGCTGTTCAACTTGAACCCTGTAATATGATGATGAGGATTGGAGGAGGAAAAAAAAAGAAAAAACAGAAAACAAACAAACAACAAAACCATTAAAAAAAAAAAACTGTTGACAGTGCCAGAAAGTTAAAGTTCTACTTTTGGTTAAATTGTCAAATTTTAAAGAGTATCTATTCAATTTTGGAAAAGCTCCCACCATGCCCTCCTCATTTGGAGTTATTTAAGCTCTTGACAGTATCATGTGTTTTTCCTATGATGCATGCTCCCACATTTCATTAGCAAACTGACTCTTATAATGCTATCTTGAGCATCACATCTTTGTCAAGCTACCTCCCTTCTCTACGCCACAGTATCCCTGGTGAAGAATCTAGACTAAATGGAAGTCTTTCAGGTGTGGGTGAATGAGATTTTTCAGCTTAGAAATCATGTGCTGGAGTGCAGTGACCATCTGCCACCTCAACTTGGCCATGCTATAATACTGAAAAAACAACTACCTGCAGCTTCCAGTGCTCTTCTCATCTCATATGAATTCATAGTTCCAGATCGATCCACATCGATTTCCCTGTAAATTTTCTGCAGGACACAAAATGCTAAGTCAAAACTTGTCAGCAGTTCAGAGTGCTTTTTTGGCTTCAGTCGAAAGGATGAAGAGAAGCTGTGGATGCTGAGGGCAAAACCTTGGGACTGAGGACACAGTTGCAGGAGACACATCGTGCACCTTCCCAATGGTGTCACAGCTCTGGGATGCATGGCTGCCACCCAGCATAGGACAGATAGCATAGGACTTCCAAGCAAAACACTCCAAGCCAACCAGATTGTTTTCTGGCTACTTCATGTTCTGTAGAACTCTAGGGGAGTTTTGGTTGTGCTCTGAGTTTGCTAGGCAATTGACCAGCTTCAATTAGGACTGACATGGGTGTTAAGTAACTTGGCCTAGTGCATATATTTAGCTGCTGCTCTTGGGTTTCCCTTTCCAGTCTGCCCTGATCCTCTGAAACTCAGAGGAGCACCAGTAGGAAAGAGGCCTCATCTCCTTCAGACTAGAAAACGTTTACTGATTTCAATAAAATGGAATTTGCAGTGATAGTAAAGGAACTGCATGCAAAAACTTACAGTTAAACTTTCTGATAGCTATATATTGTATGAGGCAAAACAATCCATGTTTTACTGAATGTTCTCCCCCAAAAGTTGTCTTACCTGATATTTCTGAATCTTTGTCCAGAGTGTGTGGAACTCCTTCAGCCCCAGTTTTCCACTCCCATCATTCTTGTTGGAGTCAAGGTAATTTCTTTGCAAGTCAGAAAAAGGGTTTTCCCTCTCTGTGCTGGGCTAATTAACATGAATGCTTGTGACTTAATTGGATTTTTTTTTTAAGTATTAAGAAAAGGATGCAAGTCTTCTCTAGAGCTTATGTTTCTGTTTGTTTCTTTTGGGTTTGTTTAAGCATTTGATTGAATGCACAAACTGTTCTCCAAGGCTTCTTGTCTTTCTAAATCAATGGTGACTGATTCATTTAAACTGTGATCAGTTCACAACCCCTTCTCACTCCTCCTTTAGTAATTCTCTGTCTTTTCAATAGATGTATAAAGCAGCACAGGTGATGCCATTTTGCTCTCCATAGTTGGTTCTACACCTGCAGTTACAGGAGTTTGTAAGTCTAGGTTATAAACAGGTAAACAGGAAAAGACAATCAAGCCTACTATTTAGAGAACTCTTACACAGACAGCTAACAAAAAAATCCTGGTTGTTTACTGCTTCCCTCCCCCAAACCACTAAGTAGTCTGTACTGACTGCTAACACAAAATCTTATAATCATTTTGTTTGGTAATTTTTCATTTACTTCTGAGTACACAGTTCAACTCCCACTGAATAGAGAAGCTGGATGTAAATATTCTTAGACCCAAGTCCTTCATCCTACACTTCTGTGCTTATTCTTGGATGTAGAAACTCCTAAAAAAAAATCAGCATAGCCTCTGGCTCTTCTTATTTGCTTGCTTTGTTTCCTGTTTATTAAATCCTTATGGCTTTACAGTGCCTTTCCCAACACCAGCCAGATAACAGAGTGTGTAAGTACAGCCAGCTGTGTGCATCTAAACTACCAGCCAAGGCTATCCACACCCTGCTGAAAGCTGCCTGTTCCCAGCAAACCTCACCATAATATGTGAGACTTCAAAGCAGATGGCCCTGTCTGGAAATGGAGTTTCCCCACTGCCTGAGAGAATGTGCGTGCCATGGTCAGTGGCCAAAGCAAGAACTGCAGCTTTTATCTGGGGGGACCAAGGCAAAAATAGCTTATCTGCCTCAGGAGGCACTGCAAAGGCAGCAGCTCACCTACTTCAGGCAGAAAAATAGCAGCCTTAAAGGATACATCTAGCAGGTCAACCATTATTTTGCATGTCTCGATGCTAAAGCCATCAGATTTAATATCTTGGCCTGTAAAGAAAGAACAAGAGATGGAATTATATTTGTATGCTGTACCAAAGGACCTTCCTCTATTGTCTAGGAGTAACCAGTGTATCCACCTCTACCCTTAACTGCATGTCTCTTCAGGGGCTTTGCAACTGGCAAGATGACCTTTTCATTTTGGTATATTTTTTGTTTCTCCATAATTTGTGCTTAGCACTTTGCCTTTTCTGTAGCAGGTTAAGATACTCAGTGGCAATGTGGTGTCTCCTTCACATCTGCCCTTACAATGAGGTGTTCTACTGTATGGCTGCCATGGTCTGGGCCAAACCAGCGCAGCAGCTAGTAGGGAATGCCTGCCTGCTGCTCTGGGAATTACAAACAGCATCCTAAGCCTTTGGGATCTAGCAGTTGCATTGGTACTCCTTCTAAGGTAAGCTAGTCCTTAGAGATGGTTCTGGTTTTTGTACAAGAGGGGGACACAGCACTGAAGCTGTGCTTCAGCTGAAGACAAATGGATGCTAATAAACAGCCCTCTTTTTCCTGACAGAGAGACTTTAGTGTGAAAGTTGGCTGTGATATTTCCTCAAGCAAACAGCCCAGTTAGTCTGGTTTGTAGGTATGCTGCAGAAACAAGAGACAGAGATAAAGCCTTCCTGAACTTGTCTGGTTACAAAGACAATGGACAACATGGACTTTGATCTGAGGAGGTCAGTGCTGAGTAGCCTCATTCATTAAATCAAGCTTGGAAACCAGTAATACACCATTGATGCATGTAGCACAGCCCTGGCTTCCTAGCTAAGATTTCACTTTGGAAATTAAAGAGAATTTCTTCTCCAGACTCAAACACTGCTCCATGTAAAAGAAAATAATCCTTAGCCAAGCTCTGAATGACTTTACAGAAAACCCGGTCTGAAGTTGGGCTGCTGTAAAGCTCTGACTCTTGGCTCTGCCACCAGGCAAGTGATAGGACTTTGGAGCTGCAAACAGTACTGAAACTGCAGAGGCACCAGTTGTTCAGTCATGGTCTCAACAGGTTCTCTCTAGCAGAAACTGTTCCCAGATGCAAAATCTTTCAGGTAAGAAATCAGTTTTCTTGCAGAGACAAATTTCTTTGAGAACAAATTACTCATTTAAATTACTTTTCACTTGGGACATGAATGTGATCTCCTGGTTCCCCAACCAGGATCACTCAGTGCAGTGTTTCGTGTCAGGTTTGAATCCTGCATGGTTCAATACCGTGTACCAGCAATACCCTCCCCTGATAACTAGCAAGCACAAATTGCAGGACCACAGAACCATTTAGATTGGAAAAGACCTTCAAGATCCTCAGGTCCAACCACCAACCTGTGCTACCAAGTCCCGTCACTAAGTTAGCCCACCTTCCTGGCAGTCAGTTCCCTATACCAGACACTGGAATAAAAGGCACCTGTATGCAGCAGGCATGCAAACACACCCCACCAGAGCACACATCCTGAGATACGTGGGCACAGCCCACATGTTTCTGCAGCTCCTTGAGGCCCTGGCCATGGGAAGAGAGGATCTCTCACGGCCACACTGGGAGCACTGCTGGGGGCAGGTACTTACGCTTAGCCAAGATTTTATTCAGGATGCTGCGCAGCTCGAAGGCAGAGATCTCTGCATCCTGAAGAAAAGAGGAAAATAAGTTCTTCACTGGGAGACACAGGCACCATCTCATAAGCAGCCTCCTAATCCTTTGGGATTGATGGTCAAGATCAGCATCCCTCAGAGTTTCTGCCTGATGTGGGTTTGCCCTCACCATGAAGCCCATTTGGCCAGTCTGGATCCACTGGCACCAGTGACTGGGAGCTGTTCCTCTTGCACACTTACCCGTGCCCCCAGTAAGACATAACGATGAAATACTCACGCTTCCTGCCAGCTGCCCAAAAAGCTTTTTGAAGTTAGGCTCAATGTCATCTTCACTGATCTCAGTCTAGAAGAGAGAGAGAGAAACAGAATATGGAAAGGAGAACTTTTCTGCCTGAGAAGGACTTAATGTGCTTCCTTGCCTCATTAAAATACAATTTAAATGGCAAAGTTGTAGGTAGTTGTAGTGTTTGCTTTGATTTTGATCATTTTTAGATTTAGGGGATCCTTAGAATGTTGTTGCAAACACCGAAGGATTAAGAGCTTCTGCAATGGTTTTCACTAAAAAAAATGAATATTCTTTATCAAAATCTGTATCAAAAAAGGACACAACCAAATTCACAACCTTGCTGTTGCTGCTACTCAGCTGGGCTAACTGTCCTCATTTTAAGAAAAGACTGCAAAATATAAGTTCTCATCTTGGAAAAAAATCCCATAGTCATGCAGAGACACATTATTAGGTGAAACATTCTCAGCCCTTACAACACAAAACCTATGGTGAGCCACTTCCTACTCATGGAAACAACATCCCATGAAAAAGTACACCTAAAGGCTTGTGCTCCCGGATTCCTGGACAGCAAAGGGAATTTCCTATGGCTTCAGTTATCCCTGCAGGCAGCACCTGATCCTGGGCACCTGGAGAGCCCACCTCAGAAAAGACACAACATTTGTTTCCGTTGCTGCTTTTTATGTTTCTGCTTACTTATCTGGACATTCAATTATGCATATCCAAAAATCTGTTTCCAAAGTGGGATAAGTTCTTGCTAATGCCAGCAGAAAAATGCCACCTGCCTGGATTGCACAGGGAGCAAGACAGTCCAACCCCATTTATTTATGACAAAATTATCTCAATTTAAAATATTTAAAACATACCTCTTCAAAATTGGCCTCTATTTCATCATCTATAACCCTGGAAAGATAAGGAAATTGATATTAAAAACAAAATAAGTCACTTTTCTGATTCAATTACTTTAAGATCCAAATTCTTTAAATTACAGTAATAACAACACATGTTCAAAGCTGAGAGGTAGGTGGTGTGAACCTCAGACACACTGACATCCCAGTATTCTCACTGGTATAGAAAATACGCAAGGAGAGAAAGGCTTGTGCTTGCAGTGAAGGAGGTAAGTTGCTGTGAAAGATCTCCCTTCCCAAGGCCCCATCCCATGTGCTGTATAGGACATGCCACATTTGCAGCCAGCCATGTGCTTTGAGCCAGCTCTACTAAAACCCAGCTCAGTGTTATTAAAGACAGCAGCTGGCTGAACAATTGTCTTGTTTTCTTCCCAGCACGATTTCAGAGGTGTGGGCTATTTCTCATAGTCAGTGTGCTCACCACCAATGCAAAGCATGTCTTTCTGTGGCTTTTTTGTTTCCACGGATCAGCCTCGGCTGTGGGACCCAGCTGGCTACATTCCAAAGACTAAAAGCATCTATCCAGACAGAAATTGCTATAAAATAAATAATAATCGTAACAAACCATCCCATTCCTAGTAAATAATCTGTAGCACAACGCTACGTACGCTGAGTTTGCGTTTTTCTCTGAGAAGACTCGGAGGCAGAAGTCTCCATTCAAGTTGGGTTCAAAGGTAGAGGGCACAACGATGTATTCCCCCGCAGGGAGCTTGAACCGGTTCAGCACTTCCCGGAGGTTGATGAAGGTGTTGGATTTTTCTCTTGCTTTGTTAGTCAGGAAAAAATTTTTGCTCAGATGAATATTCGTCTGGCCAGAAAACTTATGGAAAGCAAGAAAACAGAGAAAACCCATCATTTGCATGTATTTGTTCTTTTTAGCTACAAACACAACAGAGATGGCAATTAGCTAGGTGTGAAGAGAAAAATGTACGTTCCACCAAAGTGAAAGAGAAAAGTGAAAGGGAGTGGTGTCTCACACCACAGTACTCCTGTGTTGCAGACCATCTCACTACAGCATCCAAGTAATGCTTATGTTTAGCAGATTGTGAAGAAATCTGACAACTCTTTTTGGAGACCAATATAGTTTGATAGTGACAGGACAAGGGAGAAACTGAAAGAGGAGAGATTCAGGTTACATTTTAGGAGGAAATCTTTCACAATGAGGACAGTGAGGCCCTGGCACAGCTGCTCAGAGAAGCTGTGGTGCCCCATCCCTGGAGGTGCTCAAGGCCAGGCTGGATGGGGCCCTGGGCAGCCTGAGCTGATGAGAGGTGTCAATGGCAGGAGATTGGAACTGGATGGTCTTTTATGTCCCTTCTAGTCCAACCCATTCTATGTTTCTATGAAATTCTTTCATTCCTGATTTTATTTGAAGGCCAGATGTATTGCAGCTGATGCTTGACCCCAAGACTACTGCCACCAGGGCACTGCAGCTCTGCTCCCCCAGGCCACCCTGCAGCAGGGAGCCCAATTCTGCAGGGCTCTGAGAATAAAATTAACACTGCACGTTACAGAAGTGTATTTGAGTGGTGACATCTTCCAGACCAAACTCTTCTGGGCAGGGTTTTAAAGACAAGCTATTTCAGATCCAGAAGCAGACCAGGAACATGCTCTGCTTAGAAACCCCCACTTCCCCTCTGTCCGGATTTTTAAGAATGCGAAACTCGTCAGACCTGCTGCAGCTATGGTGGGAAAGTCAACAGACTGTAGTTTGAGTCTTTTGGTACGCAGAATAGATTTTAGATTTTAGACCACTAGGGTATGAGCCGAGGAGTAACAGAATGTTGCTAAAGCAGTCAGAAGGCAGTTAAGAAATTAAATGAACTGGTAACTCCACTTCTTTCCTGGTAAAAACATGTTTTACATAGCAGCCACCTATGCTGCATGCTGTTCCTGTGCCTCAGGGATCTGAGTGCACCCTGTCAGGTGCAGCAAGTCATGGCTGAGGTCTCCCTGGAACTTTGCTCCACCTCATTTGTCCCAGAGGGGCCTGCAGCCCTGCCTTGCATTGCTCAGCCATCACACCCCACTGCACGCCCTGCTCTGACCTCTGGGGCATGCTGTTAATTGCCTGCAGCTAGAATCCGAGAGAAGAAAAAAGAGGATGCCCAGGGGAATGAGAATGAAACCTCTGTGGAACATTAATTGCTCAGGCATGACCTCTGTGCAGACCAGGGGCAGGTGTGGGTCTGTGCTGGGAGAACAGCCACGAAGGAGCTGCTCTCATAAGTTTCTGCTGTACTGCGAGCTCTCATACGAACCCAGGACATTTTGAAAATGCAACACAGGCTCAAGCCCACCTCAGAATAAACGGCCACTAACTTCAGACTCTGCATAGCCCATATGGTCCTTCAGGGAAGGAGGATCCTCTCAACTGTTTTTGCCCACAGACATCAGCCTCAGAGCTGCACCTTGAACCCTTCGACACCACTGCATGCTACGTACCTCTGGAGGCACCTGCAGGGAGAAAAGGACAGTTAGTTGTGTGTACTGCAGTGCTGCTCACTGGCTGCATTCACAGTCCTGAACCGAGTCCCTGTCTTTGCAGCTTTCTGCAGTGTGGGGCTGCATCAGGTGATGGTCAGGTGGGGTTTAGCGAAAGGTTCTGCCCCAGAGGGCAGTGAGCATGGCACAGGCTGCCCAGGGCAGTGGGCACAGCTCTGAGCTGCTGGAGTTCGAGGGGCATTTGGACACCACTCTTAGACATAGGGTTTGGATTTTGGGTGGTGCTGCATGGAGCCAGGAGCTGGACTTGATGAATCGTTGTGTGTCCCTTCCAACACAGGATCTTTTGTGATTCTATGGTTCTACTACTTATTTGCCTACAGGTACCAGATTCTTTGACAAACCTTTTACAAATCTGGGGTACTGAGAAAACAAGCAGTTGCACATGTTGTTGTTTGACCACTGTTTTGGTGGAGGACAATTTTCTTAACGCCTAAATGGAATTTTCCCTCAGGCTAATGGTATCTGATTCAGCCCTGGTGAGTTTGGGTTGGAAGCCCAACTTTGCTCAGGTAGAACACAGAAGGAACTGAGAACTTTGCTGGGTTAAAAGAGTGAGTGACCTTTCCTTCCATGCATCTTACTTGCCTCATAAATTGCAAAGCCAATGGTATGCATGTCCTCTCCCATCTTCCTCTGCTTCCTCCGATGCTTCTGAATCAGGCCAATGAGAAATGTGCAGCCCCCCTCAGGATCATCAGGATCCTCATCTTCTTCCTCCAGCTTAATTAAATACTGTGGATTCGTCCAGAAAGTGTCTGCAAAGCGGATTTATGAAAACCGCTCAGAGACTTCTTTGATAAACACATGCCAGCTAGGACAGACACAGCCCTGACTTCCAAGTTAAGCCACAACCAATGCTTCCCTTCCAGCCTCACAACCACAAGTAGACCCTCATTATGGAGCTGTGTCTTTCATGCACTTGCATTTTCTGGATATCATTCCCTGATACTTCCAGCATGTCATAAGCCACCCCAGACCAGTGAACATCAAGGACAAGGGTGCGTTAGGCAAGCAGGACTGACCAAAGCCAACATCAAAGTCAACATTACACCAGACTCTGAAAGGTTTCTCACCACTGTGTCACTGGGGTTATGGCTTCAACCCAATCCTTTACACTGCAGAATATCTATCTGGAGACTGAAGCTCCCAGAGCAACAAGCGGATGAGCACACTCTTACTTGGGTAATTCCTGCAGCCCCCTGCAGTAGCTCCTCGCCTCCAGTTCCCATCCAGCTTCAGCAGGCTCCACTTCTTGTACCTATCACTTGCCAGAGTGTCCGGAGTCAGATTGCAGATTTCCAGGCGGGAGTAGTGCCTCAGGAAGTCGTTGAAGGCCATCCTGGGGGAGGCAATGCCATCTCTTTAAGATGGACAGTGTTTCCAGACAGCCACCTTGTCCTTCCTCTACTCAGCAACTTAGCACTGGGATTTGGGGTGAATTTACTCACTCATCTTGGAGAGTGTGGTGGGAGAGGGTACTTTGTGTGGGAAAAAGGCTCATTCTCTTACCAAAACTCCCCATCCTCATGTCTCCTCGTCAGCCGCTCCCGCACCTCTGGGTCAACACCATTCCAGTTTGAGCAGCTGAAAGACAAACCCACATTAACTGCGGTTTAAAAAATTGAATCTCGATGTAGCTGGTCTGGCACAATGACTCAGTTTTCTCACAGCCTTCTCACACAATTGCAACTCTCCATGACACCCACCTGACAGCAGCTCTAGGGCTCTCAAACAACAGCAGAATGGAAATACAGGGACATTAGGACATTAGGTACCTGGCCTCTTAAAATGCAAGGCAGGAGTTTTATTTTCACAAAATACTGATGCCTTGACAGAAACAGAGCAGGAAGACCCAGAGTAAATACTGTTCACCCACAGCAGTACATAAACTCCAGCTTTCACTGCTAACAACAGAAATGCATTTTTATAGCCCTTATATAAAGTAGGTTTTCAGAAGCTCGCCACTGAATCTGGGCTGTTAAAAAAAGCACAAACAACAAAAAGATTTGTAGGAATCGCGAAACAAATCACTCCATCTAGCTCAAAAGCAGGTGTTTGTATGGAGGACACTGCAGCATGGGAGACAAAGTAGTGGGATGCCTCTTTTAACCAGCTCAGTGTGAACATCACATCCAGACATGACTAAAAGTGAAGCTGGAGGTAGGGAGAAGACAGAGGACAACAGGAACACAAGTACTTCCCTGCAGTCAACACCTATAGGCAACATGCAAGCCATTGACTCACTTATCATTCCATTTCCCAGTCCACTCCACTTCCCCCCAGGGATTTCGGATTCTGATGAGCTTCTGGATACTTCCACGGAAGTTCACCTGGTGGGATCAGAAGAACAATGGAAAGTCACCCAAGGACTCAGCTCTGTGCTCTCCTCCATTTTTTTTTAATCTGCCCATTGCTGTGCACACAGAGCCTGAGACAAATGAAGCTCTATGAGATCCAGTGAGAACAGTCACTGTTTACAAGGAACATGCAGTTCTGGAGACAGGAGTTGCAGCATCACTAGAGCCCATAGACGAGCAAACAGAGGAGAGCAGGCAGGGCAGAGCTTCAGAGTCCGTCCAAGGATGGGTCTCCACAACAAATTCTCCATACAAAGCCTGCAAACATCTCTAAAGGAGAAGCTTGCCTATCTTTTTGTGAATTAAGGTCAAATTCCCTACCGATTCTTCTTCTGTGACAGGAGGACCAAATGCATGCACCCCAACCTGCCTGCGAGCACTGCCCACCTCCTTGCAACCTGCCTGTGGCTGGGGACTCATCACACTTCACTCTGCCATTTTAGACACACTTCAAAAATAACTACTGGAGTGACCAAATGTCCTTTACACACGTGAAGGACGCCATGACCTGTCTGCTTCCTTTTGGTTTTGCTCACCTTAATCTGTTGATCACCTACTCTTGGCTAGGCACCTGGCTCTCACACACGGTGCTCTGCTGGCAGGTGCTGATTGCTGTTCATTAATTATTTTTTTTGCCTGGCTGTCTCACACATCTTCCTGTGCACTTAAGGTGTTATCCCCCAGAGGATAGTGTGCCCTCTGCACAGAGCTTTCCCAAGAACTCAAGCTTGTGTTTACCCAAAACACAAAGATTAACTCGCTATTTCTTCACACAGAAGTGACTCAAAAACTGGTTCTGCAGAGACTGAAGCATTTTTGGCTATGAAGACCAATCTGTTGCTGCTGCAGCTCAGGGAGGAGCATGCATGGGGCTGGCTGCATTTGTCCCTGTGTTGGGGCACAGCACCTACCTCCTCTGCCCCAGTGACAGAGTACGCGTGTCCCTTCACCAGCTTCTGCGACGTGACTGCCTCTGTCTCAGCTGCACTGGTGATCTGTAGGAGCAAAGAAACTATTACAACACTTGACTAGTCTGACCTATGAGCACCGCAAAGAAAATCGCTCCTCGCAAGAAAGTAGCTGCTTGACATCCTGATTTAAAGCTTCTTCAACCTCCATTAAACATGCTTGTCACTCTCCTTCCTCCTTTTCAGAAGGTATGTGATCTTCAAACAAGCATACTTGAAGCTTAGAGAAAAAAAAATAAAGAAAAAGAAGAAGGGGGTGGGATCAAGCAGACAGAATTCCTGCTGCCACTTCATGCCCTATTTTTACTACAGAGCATTAAAATGCTTAACCTCTATTCCCCTCTTTCTCTGACAGACAAGAATAAAAGAGTTTACAGGATTTTTCAAAGACCAAACTCACTAATAATTACTTTACAGTGCATAAAGCACTCACCAACAAAGGAATATATTTACTTTCCCCCACCCCCAACATGAGGTTTGAATCGTTCTGGAGCAAAAATCCAGATATCAGATTCTTATCTAAATGCAGACTAGAACATGACTGGAAAGTGCTGTAGAGTTGCACGTTAACATTAACAAAGTATTTTTCCTGCTGTGAAACTTCCCTCTCTTGTGACTGGGATTTAAAACAAAAAAAAATGGGAGGAAACACTTGAGTTTAAATTATGAATGCAGTTCTTGTCAACAATTTACCTTCTCTTTAGACACAACTAAGATCTAATCTCCTTTGGGAATATGTTGGTTATCGTAGTAATGATACTCAGATTCATTTCAATGAGGCCAAAAGCAATGCTGAATTGCTGTAGTCACAGACAAAAAGCTCCTCATTTTTTTATAGCACAGATTTAGGTTTTGGCAATGTGTTTTCTGATAAAGCCTTTAAAATGACCAACAACAGCTTCCCTGATTGGACAATGTATCCCAGTTGCTTTGGCTTCGGTTTTCTTTTTTGGAACCTTTGGGTACAACCTGTACAACAAACAGGATGGAGGCTGCTATGACTGAGCACACAGTGGAGGAACCATTAGCAGCAGCTCTCTGCCCAAAGACACTTAGCTTATGGCAATCTGCTGCCAAGCCACAGACTTTCTGAAGAACAAAGATGTACACTGGGATCCCTAATGAGTTACCCATATGATTCTTCAGCATGAGCCTATGAAACAGCAGAAATTTTCGTAGAATATCCTGAGTTAGAAGGGACTCACGAGAATCATCAAGTCCAACTCCTGGGTCTTAAGGAAGAAAAACAACTAAGGCAAAGAGCTTTAACGCATGAACTAATTAGATCTATGTTTCAACCTATCCTCTATTGCTGTGTCATGCTCCCGGGTCAAATTCTCCAGGCAGAAGGAAGAGCAGAGAACTGATCTTCAAGAGGCAGAGGGAAGCATCCTCTGTGCACCTCCTGCAGTTGGAGCACAGGTCCACCTCCCATATGCCCGCATGCAGAGTGAGAGCCAAGCACCCAGCAGTAAGAACCAACTCACATCGATGGAGCAGCCAAGGAGCGAGCCTTTCTGCAGCGCTTTCTGAATGATTTTGAAGAGGTTGGGTGGTGCCTTCTGCAGCTCATACCACTCTGCAATCCCACCGGTGAAATCCTCAAAGCCTTCAGTGGTGGTGCCACCAGAGAGAGCCTCGTATGATCCATTCAGCCTACATGAAAGCACACACCCTGTGATAATGACACAACCAGCAGGTTCCCTATTCTCCTCTTCTCTTGGAAACTGGCACTCGGTTGTGCAAACTGTCACAGTGCTTCTGCTTTCAACAGCACCGTGGCAGCTACAAAGGCAAACTCCTTCCTTCAGCTTTCCTTCTTATACCTCTTTAGAGTAAGGCCAAATGTGATCATTTGCAAGTTCAGTCATATTAATGAAAAAATAAATAAATAAATAAAACGGGATGTTATTCAAACAAACAAACAAACAAAACCAACCCAAAACTCTCAAAAAACAAGAACCAACAACATACTTGTTCACTCCCTTGAACAATCATGGGATTGATTTTCGGCTGCTCTAAAATAGTTCTGTTTTTTGAGTCAATTTAAAAATTGTAATGCTATATGGCAGAATTCCTCCCTGACCCCCTCCCAGACTGGAAATTCACCTTCAAGCATCTTCACCCTGAAGACAGATCTGGGCAGGTGGACTGGCATGCTTTGCATACCAGCAGTGCAGCTGAAAACCCTCACAGGTGCTCGGAGCATATGAAATGGAGCTCCCAGACCCCAGTAACAGGAGATGACACTCGAAGAACAGGCTTGCCAGGGGATGTTTTCCTTGGCTAGCAGCAAAGACAGTACTTTTGGCTGCTGTCAGTAGCACCTGTCAGCACAGCTTCCCTAAAGCAGCCGCTGTGATAATGAGACTGACATTTTAATGTGTAGTATCCGCACTGTGGTGGATGCTATGGGGAAATAGAAGTAGGAAGTGAGAACAAGCAGCTTCTCTTGCCCCAGGTGGCCACCCAGACCTGTACTCACTTGGCGTAGGCCTTCTCCAGCAGCGCGCTCCAGAACTCGCTGCCCTCTGCTGAGTGCACGAAGAGCAGCTCCCCATTCTTGGTGGGCAGCCGGTCGTCCACCACAACGTCCACCCACTCTCCGTACTGCCAGAACTGGAAGAGAATGCAAATACCTCATCATCGGCCCATGTCCACCAACAAAGAGCAAAGAGAACCCCTGCTCCTGGCTCTTTGGTCATTGGCCTTCTTCCCTCCATCACCATCACTCTCCTTGGGTTTTGATGCCTGTTTTTTTGATGTCCCCCAAGATGTTCCAAGAGACATTTCTCATGTAGACGTGACCAACCACATAGGCTCCTGGCAAACAGCACTCGGGAGGAGGCGAGAGCCAGATTTCCACATACCTGGAAGTGGAAGATTCCTGCATATTCATCTTGGAAGCTCTGGTCTCTGGGAACAACACGGGCCAGAATTTCTTCATTCAGAGTGAGGGAGGCAATAGCTGCCAAGAGCCAGCAGTCCCCTGTAAAAAAAACAAATAAACAAACAAACAAAAAAACAGCATTAATTACTCAAAGTTATTCTTTAACTTTTGTACTGAATAGGGACTGTACATCATAACCAGCATGGGGATCACTGTGCCTGCTGAGGTGATGGCTCATGGCTCAGAAATGAATCACCTCAGCCATGATGAGATGATCCCACTCATCACTTTACCTTTAGGACACATCAAATGTATATATACAAACATATGCCATTTCCAAGCAGATGTGTTTTCCCAAGATTAAAAAAAAAAAAAAAAAAAAAAAGTAAAAGCAATAATTATCACCCATGCTGGGACTATTTGAAAAAGAAATTAATATTCAATTGAGTATATAGCAAAAGTTAGGAAACAGCATGGGGAAAAGTGAAAGAGCACATAGGTTTCCTGAGGTGCAATTTCTCCTCAAAAGGCTTGTGCTTTCTCAAGAATAGGCTGCTTTCTTTTCCCTCCTCTACATTTCAGTGATGCTTGCCACCCAGACACCTAACCTACGGCTGAGTTCCTGCTAGAGTTCCCTTGCAATCTCCTGCTGAACAGGAGCTCCTTTGACCTTATACACCTCTGGAGGCTTGTTAGAGGCCTCTTTGTCCTGTGCAATATCCAGTCTGACACTGGTCAGCAGAGAGGCAGGAAAGACCTGAAGGCAGGCACTGTTTCTCAGACCTACACACCTCTTCACTCTTCCTGAGATGGAGCCAACACACACTGAGCCAGGCTGGGTCCAGGCTGTTTGGACAGTACTTTTCCACACCATCCCTCTCCAAGCAGGAGACTGCAACTGTTGCATTTATTTTCAGAAACAAATGTTGTTTTAACAGAGTGGTCACCTTCCAGCTAAGCACCTTAACAACGTGGTTACAGACATAAGGACCCAGTGACCCCCTGACTTCTGCAACCCTTAGGAAGAAATGGCATTTCAGAACTCCTCCTTAGGAGAATCACAGAGTCAGTAAGGTTGGCAAAGACCACTAGGATCATGTAGTGTCACCCATCACCACCATGTCCACTAAACTACATAATCAGAGCTGCTGTTGCTACACTGTTTTGTGAGCACAGAAATGATGGCATTATGCATCAGATCCCCCAGCACTGTCCTGCAGCATGCATTGGATGGCAGGCTTAAGAAACACACATCAGCTGCTAGCAAATCAGAGGCCTACCACTTTAATTGGGGCCCATGTGTGGCCAAAATGAATCAGTACATTCCCACCATGGAATTAAGAACTCATTGTCTCCTCCTCCTCTTTGTTTCTCTCTCACTGGCACTCATTGCACAACAACACAAAGCATCACAAAAATTCACTAACACAGGCAAAAAAATCCCTCTGTTTCTTCTTCACAGTAAGGATGATGGAGCGCTGGAAAAGGCTGCCCAGAGAGGTTGTGGAGTCTCCTTCCATGGAGATATTCAAGACCTGTCTGAACCTGTGTGACATATTGTAGGCTGGCAATTGGACTCAGTGATCTATTGAGGTCCCTTCCAAGCCCTGCGATTCTGTGATTTATGGAGTTAAATGAGGTTGCAGGAACAGAGAGGCAGGTTATTAAGTATTTGGCAGTAGAAACATCAGATACCAGAGACATTCTGGTCAGTGGGAGATGAGGATGGATGTAAATACACACGTGCATTGGACAGCAGTCCACTGCAGCAACATGCCACTGAAGTAGCTACAGTCTGGGTGTTTTAAAGATCATTCATACCTGGGAACAGTTAGCAAACTTCAGTGTAACATTTAATTTCTAACAAATAGACAATTTCAAAGCACCCTTAACACTAGGATCAGGCACGAGACATGTAAAAAAATCACAGACTAGTGGGTTATCAGATCTCAGCACGCAGGCCAAATAACCTGTCATCAGTTACAGAGTCAAAAGGCTGGATTAAAGTTTATCAGTAGGACTGTACATGTGATCTGGCCGTATCTGAGCTTCCATTTCCAAACTTTATAACCAGCATGTCAACTACACCAACACAGTAAAACAAAGATCGTCTCTCAGAAACTGCAGTGCTGGTCATGGTGGCAGAGATATGCAGGAAGCTTGCTGTCCCACACAGCAGCCACCCTTCCCTTTCCATCCCTGCTGGGCTGCCCACAGCCTTCCTGTCTGAGCAGCACTGACACACATCCCCTTCCCTGCAAGGCTTGTGCACAAAGCAAGTCTGACATCTCAGACTGACAGCAGCTGGATTAAAGCTAGCTCAGAGGATGTTCACCCACACTGCTGGGACACCTTCCTTTGGCCAGGCAGCTGCATGCTCTCATCCAGAATAAATCAAATAAACTCAGAAAAACAGCAACTCAGCCTGCTCAGCACACTGTATTGGCTGTGGGGCACAGCTGGGTGAAACCACACAGCTCCTGGACAGCATAGCCCCTGCTCACAGTCAGCTGAAGGGGTGTTTCCCCTCCCAGTTGCTCAACCTGCAGCACCCACCTGAGCACACACTGCAGAGCTTTGCTCAGCCATGCACTCAGTGACTCCAGGGGATCCCCAGAGTGTTTGACACCAGTGTTACTAACGTCAGAGAAGTCATGGAGGACCTCTAAACTCTTAGCAGAATTAAAGGCTTTCCTTTACCTCCTAGCTGTACCATGAAGGCAGACAGAAGGAAACAGAAGGCTTTGATGTAAAGCCTCTCTGTGGAGCAGTTTCTAATGAAAACTTAAGAGTCAGACAATCATAGATATTGACCCTTGGCATTAAAGGGCAAATAGAGCATATATACAAAAGCTCACCACCCCTTGGTTTCCACACGTAGAAGTGCCCAGCAGCCAGGACTTAAGCTCTGCCTTTCCAAACTGACATCACTAAAAGCAGATCTGATATTTCAAAGCTTTTGAGTGTACATGGAATTTTAGCCTGCACTAAGCAAGCCTGAAGAAGGTCCTTACCAAATATCCTTAATGATAAAACTGGTCCTTCTGTATGGCTGTTGAGCTAGAGGTTCTGTATAGGGTGTATCTGAAAGGGCTGACAGCCATGTTGGGCTAATCAGTGCAAATGCACAATGCAATAGACAGAACAAAGTTATCAGAAAAGAGGATATTATCAGGCTGTGAGTTTATTTATATTAACAAGAAGTAGGGTTTTTTTGTGGGTTTTTTTTGTTTTTTGTTTTTTTTTGGCATCTTGCTTCCTGTGTGCTGCTCTTGCTGTTTTACTTCTGATTCATCTGTGTATTTACCTTATCTCCAACAATAAACAACAATACTACAACAACAAAACAAACAAAAAAAGTTACAACGAGGCAAGCACAAGTAGCCACAAGATGCTTGGTCTAAAATAGGTCATTCTGGACAGCTAAGCAAGGCAAAGCTTAGTGTACAACAGGAGGGCAGCTCATGTAGCAGTGTGGGGTCAAAGGAAAAAAGTACATTCAGCCAATCTCAAAAGCATCAGTATATTAAAGCAATCATAACTATAGATTAGTAACTATGTCAGTGGCTGAGATATTCGTATTAATAACGTGGGATCCCTGGAAATTTTCTGGTTGGAGACAAGAGGCAGTGTCACTCACTCACAGTAGAGTGGTTTTCAGCGTGGGAAAACCATGCATCTCATTTTCTACATTCATCCTACTCACTTTATTATTTTTCCACACATCTGCATTCAAGGAGGATACATCTGTGATTAAACAGCAGATAAAAGATATTGTGCCCTATACACCTCAGTGTTGTGATACCATGGTGACATCCCTCCAAAGAATGTGGTTAAGGGTGAATAAGCTTCCTCTGCATTTGCTTTGGTTCTGCTACAATGAGTCACCACATCCCATTTGCTGCAGTTCTGGGCCAAACCCCATAATTAACTGCAGACCTGATACTGCAAAACTGATTCCAAATACTTGTCCTAAAAAGCTTCTAAATAACAATGATAAAGCAGAATAATGGCTAACCCAAAGCCAAAAGGGAAGAACTTTGTTGTCCTGAGAACCTTATGAGCTTTTCTGTGCTGGCGATCCATGCCAAGAAGCCTGTCCCAGCAGTGACAGATGCATGTGCTTTGGATACCTACTGTAAGATGCTCCAAATGGGTTAGCACCTGCTGTAAAACTCTGCATGGGCACAAGTCTGTTGCTTTCTGATCAAGCTTTTTGGGTGAAAAATAGACCACTGAAGTTTTCTATGGACAAACAACATTATAATAATATAAAATACAGGTTTCCAAGAGCACCTGATGTCTTCTAGAACAGCGTCCTTTGGAACATTCCAAAACATGATGTGACATCAGTGTCAACAAGTGAAATTCAAGTAAATAGAAGCTTAGGTAAATCTCTCAGTGCAAAGGTGAGTGTTGGAGGAGGCAGAGGCAAAATTAAAAGCATTTGCATAGAACACCTGTGCGAAAGAACATAGATTCAAAGCAGGGTCTTAGTAACTCAATGGCTACGGAGGAAGAACCCATAGCATCGAATTAGTTCATCAGTGAGTGACAGAGAAGATAACTCCCTCTGCACAGATTGGTAAGAAGATAGCGAGGCCAGTCACAGCAGCAGTTAGTCATGCTGAAAACAAACACGAGCACTTACAGCCTCTTATTCAAATACTGTTTCGGGAGGGAAAGGCATAGTGACTCAGTTCCTTTGGTAGTACCACATAACCTCAGGAGAACATCTGACTGTCGGCTATGGCAACGGTGCTCCAGCCCTCTGAGCATCCTCACAGCCCTCCTCTGGACCCGCTCCAAAACCTGCACGTCTTTTGTGCACTGCCGTGCTGCTAACGGCAACCGTGAGTCAGGTTGAGCAGGCGGGCAGCAATCAGGGAACGGAAAACCTGCCTGCATCCTCCCTGCTCCTATCCGGCACGGTGGGCACGGCAGGGTAGAGCCCAACGCGAACGCACAGGGCGCAGCGCTGGGAGCGGAAAGCTGCGACCGCCGCCCCGCTTACCCAGGGCTCCTTGGCAGATGTCGGTGCGCGTGGCTCCGCCGGCGATGAACCGCGGACAGGAACACAGCTCCTGGCAACAAGACGAGCCCGGCGTTACGCGAGGAGAAGGACGGAGCCGAGAGAAGGACAAAGGCGGGGATGGGTGGCACCGCGCATCTCGGGCAGCCCGAGCTGGGCACCTACCGTAGGTCTACACCAGACGACGCCCTTCGTTTTGTAGGAGTTGGGCCCCAGCTCCCGGTACCCGAGAGCGGCGGGGCCGGCGGGGAAAGAGGGGTCGTTGAAGAGGCGGCCGCCCTGCAGGCACTCCCGCCGCAGCGCCCCGAAGTCCTGCCCCAGGTAGGGCACGGCCTGCCCGTGCCGCCCCGCGCCCGCCGCCGCCGCCCGCTCCTTCGCCAGCGCCGCCGCCATCCCCGCCATCGCCCCGCCGCCACGCCTCTCCCGTCACGGGGCCGCCCCGGGCGTGCCGCACCCCGCGAGTCGTGGGAGGGAAACGTCAAACCCGATCCCAACCAAAAAATCCCTCGTGGGGGTGAAGGGAAGCGCGCTTCCTTCCCGCCGAGCTCGCGCATTGCCGCGGGTGTTCGTCCTCCGCAAGGAAACGGACGTTTTCTGAGCTTAAAGCGCTTTCAGCAAGAGGAATCCCCGCCTGGATCTACATCTCTCAGCGGGACGCACGAGGAGAAAGCGGGTGGCGTTGCTCCCAGCGTACTGCTGGCGTTGGGAGTCCCCCGCTCCAAAGCCCCGCACGTGTCCGAGGATGGCATCTGTCCACGCGCAGCCGCCCGTGCTGCCTGAACGGCTCCCTGCAAGGCCGCCTCCGGCTGCGTGCCGCTGGCACCGCTGCAGCAGGGCTGTCCTCCCCGCGACGGCTCGGGCGGTTCGTGCCGTGCTTCACGTCTGACTCACGGCGCTGCCCGGCAGCGCGGAGAGGCGCCGCGTTTGGGGCAGCGGGTGCCGAGCTCTGCACGCACGTAGGGCTCGTTCGGAGCCGTCCTACTGGACTAAACTCGATGCTGTCGTTTGAAAAGACTGGTAGAATACCTGGCTTTACTATGTAGTGAGAGGTGGGGATTTTCCCTTGAGAATCATAAAATTTTTCTTTATTGACGAGACAGGGCTCCTTGATGCGTTGAGGGGCTCTGTAGATCTGCTTGGTGGCTTTGAGCTTCAGTAATTAATGATTCCTCTGCTTATACTAAGCACACATTCTGCTTACACAGTTATGGGACAAAATTGCCGTTACACTGGAAAACAAGCAAGTTTAACCTGAGGTAGCCGTGTGCCCCGGCAGCTACAAGGGCCAACCGCAGCCCGGCTGCCCCAGGCTCAGCGCTGCTGTCGGGTGAAAGGAGTGCTTGTCCTGCTTTGCTCTGCTCTGCTCTGCTCTGCGCTGTGCAGCCTCTCCTCCTGCACTGGGTGCAGGTCTGGGTGCCACAAGACAGACGTCATTGTGTTATTGGGCATCCAGAAAAGGGCAACAAAGATGGCGAAGGGTCTTAAGGCAACGCATGTGAGGAGTGCTGAGGCTGCTGGGTTTGCACAGCGCAGAGCAGAGGAGCTGAGGGGAGGCCTGATGGCGGCTGCAGCTCCTCACAGGGAGCAGAGGGCAGAGTTCTGCTCTGTGTGACAGCGGCATGGAGCTGTGTCAGGGGAGGGGCAGCTGGGGGTGAGGGACAGGTCTGCCCCAGCGGGCGGTGGGACACAACAGGCTGCCCAGGGCAGTGGGCACGGCCCCAGTGGCAGAGCCCCAATGTCTGGACAGTGCTCTTAGGCATAGGGTTTGGATTTTGGGTGGTGCTGTAATGTAATCTGCAGGGAGCCACGTAACCACAGAGCTGCTCCAGAGGCACTGGTTTGGCTCCACACAGTGGATCAGAGCTGTACAGCTGCCGCAGATCAGACTAACCTCATTTTCAAGAGCCACAGTAGGAGGAAACTAATGTCAGTTTAAAGCAGTGGTTTTCACTAGCCTAGAAATGAGGTCTGGTTTATGAACTCCTCTAGCTAGCTTCCAATAGGCTCAGAAGCCTAAGTTAGATTTGTCATACAATAGCTCTGTTTTCTTAAGCAACCTACACAGAGGGGATTACTACTGACTGCTGTAGGGGCTGCCAACAGCGTGCCCGTAGTCTATGCCTGGATAATGATCAAGAACATCAGGCATGTACAAGGAGGTTACACAGCCTCTCTGTGCAGACAGTTAACAAAGGTTTCTTGGAGTCTCTGCAGCAAGACAGGGGCTAAGAGGACCAAAGGGATGTCCCAGGTAGGACGTGCTTACTCTTCTTTCCCAATGTCCCCATCCTCACTCAGTAATTGGGAGCAGCTCAGTGCTTCTCCACCTCACAGCATCCATCTCTCTTCTAAAGGGGGGCTATAAGAAAGAAGTGGACAGACTCATTAACAGGGTCTGTTGTGATAGGACAAGGGGAAATGGTTTCAAACTAAAAGATGGAAGATTTAGATTGGATATAAGGAACAAGTTTTTTACACAATATAGGACTGGTGAGGCACTGGCACAGGTTGCCCAAAGAGGTGGTGGGTGTCCTGTCCCTGGAGACACTCAAGGTCAGGCTGGACGAGGCCCTGAGCACCTGATTGAACTGTAGGTGTCCCTGTTGATTGCATGGCAGTTGGACCAGATTACCTTTGGGGTTCCTTCCAACTCACATGGTTCTATGATTCTCTTCTCACCTGCCCTCGTGCTGCTCTTTCTGCCCCACACAATATACAGATATTGTGGGGATAGAAGATAAAGTCTGCCCAGTGGTCCAGGGGCCATGCTGGGCTCCTGCTCTCCTCCCCAGGAGCACCTCCGAATGAGGATGCCTTCCTAAAGTAGAAGGCTGGCAGCAGTGGTGGTGTTTCACAAAAAAGGGATTTGCTTTCCCCTTTGAGGCTGGAGGTTTCCTCACCATCACAAAGCCCAGCCAAGGCAGTAAGGGGTGTTGGCAAGGCTTTGGCAGTCTTGTGAAATGCTCTTCCCAGCTCCTCATCCCCTGGGACTGTGGAGCTTCATATCTGGGGCAATGACTTCTAAAGAATAATCTTATGGACAAACATTGAAGGCATGTCATAACTCACCCTGGTCTGCCTAGTAATAGTCACTCAGTTTTCAGAATAAAAGGGTGTCTAGAAGCTTGTACATCTAGAATAGGAGAATGCAAGCTCTTTAAGTCAAGCTAATCCCTTTTCACAGCTTACGGTCTACAATACAGATAAGCAGCTTTAATTCTCATTAGCAGGGTGCTGCAGTGCAGGAGGGCTATTTCATTTCCCTCTAATGCAGCACAGCAAAAATGGTTAGAGCCATTAGATTACTGGCAGTTTTCTTCTAAGGATTCCCACTGACGTGGAACAGTTTTGATTTCACGTAATTGGCACATTCTCCCTTGCAACCAAGATGATGCCTTTTCCTGGTTGATTCTATTCTTCTCCATTTATCTCACCCTCTCACCATCATTCTTTTTCTTATTTGTATTTCCCTTCAGGGAGAACACCACTCTAGTAGCAAATTTGAAGTCTGTGAAAAACCTAACCCCTTTTCCCCCCATAGCATAACTGTCAGTGTAGTCAACTGTACAGCCACGATCTTTTCCTCTTTATATCCTCTAGATGGTGCTTGAGCATCACTTTCTACAGAAAACAGGTCATGCTGGGGCTAATCAAGCTTGGAAATGGATTTAAAGTGCTCTCCTACAGATCAGTGGGAGCAGTGGTTTGTGGTGGACACACTGGGTGATTACCTGGTCCAGACCTCCATCAGAGAAGATGTCCTCAGTCTCTTTCCAAATGTGAGGCAAAGGACAGGAAAAAAAAAAATCCTACAGCACATTTTACAGCAATTTACAGAGATAAAATGTCATCATATTTCTTCCACTTCATATTCAGCATGCTGGGGATGTGCAAGGTTTCACCCCTTCTGTGCCCTCTCATGTCCAGTGGCAACTGGAGTTACAGAGCAACAGAATATCAAAGGTACATTCAAAACCATACGTGGGAAACAAAGAATTCTGGATTAAATTGGGAGCTCCCAAATGCCAAAGCACCTTGCTTTTCAGGAACAACATTGCCAAAGCTTATGGCAGTTATGGCAAAAGAGAAGTTCTGGGCCAAAGGAACAGGGGATAAGAATGTTGTGTAAGTATGTTGCAGAGAGAATGAAACAAATATTCTGCCCTACCATCAGAGAAAGAAGGTATGTCTGAATGGGTCTATTTTTCAGGAACAAAAAACATTCTGGAAAGCAAAAAACCCTCCCTTCAGCCCCTTATTATTCGAATCTTCATTCTGATTCAGTACACAAACACACGCAGAAGTACTGAAATATAACAGAGATGAAATTCTGACCACTCTTCTTTACTCAATTACAACAGTATCTAATTTCATTTCTGTATAGACAGTACAATAATTCCCACAGCCCAGCTTTCCCTACCAGTGCCCACCTGGGACTAACCGGGTAATTTCATTTCCTCTTTTACATTCTTGCTCTTCAAATATTTGCAGACAAGTAACCCGGCTAGCCTCTGTTTGGATTCTTTATCTCAATTGGTTTCTTTCCTTAGAAATTCTCTCTTCCTTTCCCCACACCTTCTGTCTAAATGTACCAAGGGATAGTCATCAACCATGTCCTCTTGCAAACAAAGCAACTGTTTGCCCAGCTCTGGGTAAGCAAGCAGTGGCCATTCCTTGGGAAACTTGATTACTGAGTTGGAGAGCAGCTGGGCTCTGCTCTGCAGAAAGTTGCCCATGCTTCTCTTTTCTAGGCTACCAATTTCCACAGCTACTGCACCAGGGAGGTGTGCACCCATGTGTCGGTGCAAGATGAACAATAAGAACAGAAACCACCACTGTTTGATGTCCAAAAAGCCTTCTACACCTGGGGCTTTTTTATTTTTTGTTGTAAACATTTTATATCCAGGGAGCACCAAAAGTCTGGAAGTATGGTGGATAAGACCCCAGTTTTTATTGCTGGGAAAGGCACCAGCTTGCCTCCCTTTGGTGATGCATAGTGCTGCACAGTTGTCCACTTTTGCCAAGGGCATGCACTGGATGGGATCCTTGCCCTCTGCAGGCTGTTTGCCCAAACAACTATCTCTAGTTCTATTAACATCACACCTTTTGTTGCTGATGAATTAATTCATACATATGCACTGTTTTCAGAGTACCAAAGACAAAATTTTTTTCTCCCCTCCTCCCCCCCCCCCAAGCCAGAAGACAGTTCCTAGTGCTGATTCTCCTCAATTCTTCCCTGGCTTTAGCACTCCATTACCATATAGGTGATATCAGCCCTAGGTTTTGTGGATGCTCTGCTCTCCAGCAGTGTAAAGCTGGATTTTGGAAAGAAGGAAAGGTCTGAAGTATCTTCACCTGGTCTCTTGGAGCTGGCCCCTGAGCCTGATTTCCAGCACAGAATGG